ATCTACCAAAATGGTCATACCTCTGTTATAATTGCCTACGTCTTCTGTGATATTTCCCCAAGTTAGGTAAATGTCTTCGACATTCTAGTGTCCCCATCAAGAGGTCCTTCAGGCACTAAACGGACAAACAGGTCGCTTGTGCCAATATTTGCTATCGCCTCAGGCCGGCCAGGATTGTATGGCGAACAAATCACTAAATTGATAAATGGTTCCTGATCGTTCTGCTCAGTCTTACCTTCTTAGATATTTGGTAGGAGTTGTACGTTCACCTTTCTAAGCCTCGCATTGAGATCCGATGAGGTTCCCTAATTGGTTTAATAATTCTTGCATCCTCTTCTTTTTTGTATGAAATTTTCTGTAAAAGATAAATTTAAACAATCAATTTCATTCTCTAATACGCGAACGGATTTGAATATATAATTTAAAAACATGCATATAAAATAGCTGAATATATATACGCAAATATCTATATAGGATATAGCTGGTTTTTTTTTGTAATAAATAAATGAATAAGTACATTTTTGCATTTAAAACAACGATTTTCAATATGTAATTATATTTATCATCCTTAGAAGAGTTATATGAATTCATCTTAACAAAAAAAAACATTATTTTATTTCGAAAATAAGCTATATCATACATCGATTACTAATTTATTGATTTATTCTACCAATTGATTGAACTAACTCTGTGTGGGCTGCTTATATATAATATCCTTTGAAAATGTTGAGGAGAAAATTCTGTATAAATTATTTGGAAAACCTGATATTTAGCTCTAGATAACAAGAAATAAATTGTTCCAATTATGTAAGTATTTTAAAAGTTTTTAATCTATAGCACCACAAATAATTTACTGATGGAGTTTTCATGTGATTAATTCTACCAACTTTAGAAAATTAGCGCACCAGTTTTATAATCCCTGAAGACTGTTCTTAGAAGAGGAATGCTCAAATTATATTTCCATCGAGAGTTTAAGTCATTGTTGAATTCATTGTTTGTCATTACTCTATACCCAAATACCACTTGACTTGTCAAGGCTATGAATATCAGCTTTCACAGCGAGTTCTATCAGTTCTGCCAATAAATGCGGTAAGGTAGAATATCTAGTGAAGTTCAAGACGCTTGAAGAATTTAGGAAGATGATCAATATTATAAATGCTTATATCAAGTCTATCAACATCGTATATAATTTGACTTTTACGATCAATTCTCGATGTTACTGAATTAAATATATATATTAATCAATACCACCATTATATATGAGGATCATCTTAAAATTAGTGGAATTAATTTGCCTCCCTCTGCAAACTAACCTACTCAAAACCTGACGCCATCTATTTGACCGTCGCCGCAAACTAGCGGCTTCATGTCGGCGACAAAGCCACAACACTATCTTTTGTAAACTGAGAAGATACACCTAAAGACCATGGTTTTGTGCTTTTATGTTCCTCGTCAGCCCAGGTCGGGGTTCATTCCACATGATATCTAATGGAATATTCACAATCCGCCAAAGAGGTGCTTATCTGACTAAATGGCTGGGCCAAATCTATTAGATTGATTATAGTTTTGACGGGAAAGGCCTTCAATGTTTATATAGACCAATTTCCTCCCGGCAAAATTTACTTCCATATTTTAGCTCAGCCACTTTGCCAGCTAAACACCTTTTTGGCAGATTGTGAAGATTCCATTAGATATCGTGTCATTCTGGTGGAATTAAAGTCCGCCCTCATCTGACTAGGGCCATTAGCCCGAAACCATAGTATCTAGATGGAGGCTTCTCAGTTTGCCAAATCTGTTGTTGTAGCTTTGTCACCAACCCGAGGCCCCCTAGTTTACGGCGAAGGTCAATGGATGGCGTCTAATTTTGACGTTTATTTTGACGGGAGAGGCGCCCTATGATTATATATACATTGTTATGAAAATAGAGCAATCCATACTTAAATCATGAATTTGTTTATACAAAAAAGTAAAGCCTTGATAAAGGTTGGATTTCAGCCCAATCCAATATATACCTTTTATTATCTAATATAGGTAAATATACTATTTGTATATTATTTATATTGTACATGCTATTTCAATGTATATGAAGTTGAATAATACTATATCGGTGCCCACCACAACCCAAATTAATAAGATATTGAATAATACTATTGCTAATATTCTTATATATTAATACTATATGGTTAACCTCTGTTAGCCCGATAGATGTGATGTTGATCAATACTATATTGTTTACCTCGGCTTTCCAATAGATAGGCGGTTCAAAATTACTACATTGTTGTCTTCTGTTATCTAAAGATTAGGAGGTTGAGCAAAACCGTTGATCTTTGCTATCGAATAAATAGTATGTCAAACAATACTCATCTTTCCCCACGGCTATACAATGAAAAGAAGGTTGAACAATACTATATGGTCCTCTATTTAAATGTGGGGCGAAGTTGACCAACACCGTATAGCTGCTTGCTATTATTTCTCTAGAGAATATGGAAGCTGTTATATCATTTGAGTTTCTTCATTTATATTTCTAAAGATAAATATTTCATTAGTCAAATACATTTATTAGTTATAAAAGGTATTGCTGCATATAAATATATAAAGATAATAATAGCCATGTATAGCTACGAATTATTTTTATATATGAATGGCCATTACCATCGTTGGTTATCAGAAACTCTGGATAAGATTGGATATGGTCAGCATCATCTTTGGCTGCCTAAATACTTGGATACGTTTGAATATATCCTGTCTCATTATAGCCAACGCGTAAAACGATTGAATCATTGAGTATGAAAAATATATATAGCGATGGAATAAAATTTCTAACTGTATAAATTCTTTAAAATTAGCATTAAAACATTTTTCGTATAAATCTGCAGGTTTTTCGCAGACAAAAACAAAATGCATTATTTTAATGTATTTTTTAAAAAGGAAACAGGGACCTTACTTGCAAATGAATATTCTTCATTATAAAATATATTAAATACATATAGTATGAAATATATATTTATTACATTTTTATACATATTAAATTTTACATTAATATGAATCTCTTTGCAAATACTCATAGAAAAAACTTAGGAAATTGGTATCTTTCAACATGTATGTTATCTATTTTTCTAAATGAGAACGTTCGAATTCATATGTATTATGAATCAACCGTTATTTAAGAAAATAAGTGGTTTATGTTTGAAAGATTAAGTTTTTTAAAAATTTGTTCATAAGAGTATATGCATATTTTAAAATGTTAGATGCAAGAGTTAAAAAGTATGTTACGAATTATTGTAAAATTCACAGAATATATTTTCGTTGAATGTTTCATCTTAAATATTTTTTATTACAGTTCACTTTTTAAACGAAAAATAAAAACATTAATGTATAGAAAGAAATTTTATTCATCTCGAAATAAAAAATTATTTTCCTTAAAATATTTTAAAATAAAATTTTAAATGGGTCGTCATTTGGAAATGGTATTCCCCTTGCATAGATTATTTTACCTAAATATAATTTTAGATACATTTTTATTTTTAAGAAGTATTTTAAGTTCTGAAATATTTATTTTAGATTATATCTGGAGAGGTTAGATTGACCAAATCTAGCTAAGACTCCCGGCCGGGCCTGTGGAACGCTTCACGATTTTGCGTGTCATCCTTGCGCAGGGGCCATGCTAATCTTCTCTATATCGTTCCAATTTTAGTATATGTACCGCCGAACAAGCTTGCCGGGCCTGTGGAGTCTTAGCTAGATTTGGTCAATCTAACCTCTCCAATATCATAAGAAAGAGATCATAATTGATCTATGTATAAAAATATATATTATCTTCAAAAAGGTTTTTTATTTGTAAATACAATTTTGATATTCTTATTTAACTGTATGTATTGATATATATTTTCTGTTGTGGCAATGAATACCAACAATCTTCCAAACTTTTTTGAATAGTTCAAAGTTTTATTAGGATGTTGGTTTAAGAGGGAAGTGAAGTTACATTGTTAAAATGTCTTATCTAATGGGAAAAAATGCAATTAGAGAATAAAAAAGTTAAATATTTCAACACTTTCAATGTAGAATTTAAAAGAACACAAAGATATAAATTAGAAAAAGAAAGAGCTAAAAACATAAACAAAGTAAATGTCTTTCTCTATATATCATTATAATTCAATTTATAATTTATATAGTGATGTTATAGTTTTTATTTTATATATTTATATTGTCATTCTATTATATATTTTAAGAATAATACTCAAAGAATAAACTAATTCGTTTTTATTTTAAATATTGTCCCGTTTTTTATTTTTTTTATTTATTCATTGTTTCAAAAAGCACCAAGTCCAAAGGACTATTGTGCTGTGCCAGTATTATTTACATATATATGATTAATTATTTACACGATGGATTAGTAGTTTTTTTTCAAATTATTGTACAAATAGTTCTAAACTTAACAAAGTTCTCATAAGAGATAGAGTATATACACAAAGAGAATTTGGTAATGTTTCAAAGTATCTACATACAATTTGATTAGTCAGAGGGCAAGTTAAAAGAAGATGCTCTGGTGATTCAACATCTAAGCGGCATTCACATCCCGTAGAAATTTAGGGTAGACAAACTTCAGGATGATACAGTCATTTATTTATTTCAAGAACAAATTAAAATAGATAAAATACAAGTGAAGCAATGACGAAGGTTTACGCAGAGTAATAAAATTTATGAAATTCGAAATTAATAATCTGTATTTTTAATTAAAAAGGCATATATTGGTTCAAAATATCATTTATTTTACCAATATTTCAGTTGGCTGAACGCCAACCTTTATCAATATATTAAAACATTATAAAGGACTGCGGCGTGTGATTATAAACAATACTTAAAGTTACCACGCATAAGTTTCTTTTTTTGTGAAAAATAAATATTTATTTCAAAGAGAAATATTTACTATTTCTAACTTTTTGAATGAAGTATGAGAGGGTGAAAATATGAAGAGTAATGGCGAACGGAAAAATAAAAGTGTCCAGGGGCGGGAATCGAACCCACAACCTTCTGCTTACCGGGCCGGTGCCATGTCCACTAGGCTACCCTGGACGTATTCTTCCGTTCGTAAATAATATTTAAAGTAACTTATAATACATTATAAAGGACTGCGGCGTGTGATTATAAACAATACTTAAAGTTACACCGCATAAGTTTCTTTTTTTGTGAAAAATCAATATTTATTTCAAAGAGAAATATTTACTATTTCTAACTTTTTTGAATGAAGTATGAGAGGGTAAAAATATGAAGAGTAATGGCGAACGGAAAAATAAAAGTGTCCAGGGGCGGGAATCGAACCCACAACCTTCTGCTTCACACGCCGCAGTCCTTTATAATGTATTATAAGTTACTTTAAATATTATTTACGAACGGAAGAATACGTCCAGGGTAGCCTAGTGGACATGGCACCTGCTCGGTAAGCAGAAGGTTGTTGGGTTCGATTCCCGCCCCTGGACACTTTTATTTTTCCGTTCGCCATTACTCTTCATATTTTCACCCTCTCATACTTCATTCAAAAAAGTTAGAAATAGTAAATATTTCTCTTTGAAATAAATATTGATTTTTCACAAAAAAAGAAACTTATGGGGTGTAACTTTAAGTATTTTTTATATTAAAACATATTTAATGTTTGTTGTTGACACATTTCAAATATTTTATAATACCTTGATAAAGGTTGGCGTTCAGCCAACTGAAATATTGGTAAAATAAATGATATTTTGATCCAATATATGCCTTTTTAATTGAAGATTTATTTATGGATTTCTCTATTTTCAAAAACAATCTGTATATATAAAATATAATTATAGAGTTAAAATATATTAGCACTACATCATTTAAATACAATACTTGTATAATATCGATAAAGGGGGTGCTTAACATTAGATAGAATTGCATAAACAGTTTTCCACAGAAAAAAGGAAAGAAATAAATAGGGTTATTTGGTTAGAGGGCTATGACAAGTGTCAGCATAAGAATGTGAAGGAATGTCACCAATCTTTTATCACATTTAAATATGGACTCATTTTTTATTCTATACGTTTGCTTTTGTTGAGTCGAATAAATGTATTGATAGCTTTTTATATCGGGGGCTATACCGTGTTTTATTATTAAAAATATAAATAATACTGAAGTTATATATGTTCATAATAATGTAATTATTGTCAATTCCAACTTTTAATTATATTTCCTTTTTAATGTTAAATATAAAGTAATATATTTAATTCTATTTCTTCTTGGCGCTTGCTAATTTAATTAAAACAATGATTCAAAATACTAAGTGTATTGAGTATAAACTTAAAAGATTTATAAAATATGCGATTCATATATCAAATATTCATATATCAAATATAATGTTTCAAATACGCTCAAAAAGGAACATAGCGTGTTTTACTCTTTGAAATTATCATATGTTGTGTTATATGATTAAATCTATTTACATATAAAGAGAATAGTATAATGTTATATAGTAAAAGGCCGCTTTGGTAATTGGTGTTATAAAAACATATTTATATCCGTAATGATAAAATAAATAAATAGCGATTATTAAAGAAACATGTGGCTTTAACAAAAGCTTATTGTTGAATATTTTTATTTTCGACCGTTTGCAAAAAAACATGTGAGTCGCTGATCGAAAGGTTTTTTTTAACGTATTCCGACAATATATTTTGAAAGATTTAGACCTAATGGCACACTTGTGAAAAAAGAACTTTTATATAAAAAAGGCAAACTTCTCATTGAAAGGGGTGAATTGCTCTCAGCACACACAGCTTGGACGATAATTTCAATTCTGTGAACTGCGGGGAAATCAATCGGCGCAACATTAGCATGGCCCATTGGCCACCCAGTGGCTCGTGTGGCCAACTCTGAGCTCTTTAAACCTCTCCTCTTCTACATTCTTTTCTACTTCTTCCTTTCCTTCGATAAGTAGAGATACGACCTGAATTGTAGATTTTCAACTGGATCAAATTCCTTTAATATATCTACCATTTCACATATTTAAAAGAATATTTTTGAATTTTGTGCTCCATTCTTATACCCGTTGATATTCTGTTATCATTTTTTTAGTCGACAATAGAATTCTATATATAATACAATTAGAATATTATTTTAATTATTTGTTTATTTAATGACATTTCTATCTCGATCTTTATTTGGATTGTGGTGTGAGAATTTAATTTATTTAATTGTATCTGGTAACCTGATTGGAGAGCTTATCGGTTTATACCATGATAATATATACTTGGAATATGGATTAAAATATAATTATAATTGATATAAATAAATGTAAAAATATCTGCAGAGTTACTTTACTCAGATATTTTGAGGCAATACGACCGCGTGAAAGTTTGCCTCCCAATTACTGAATGAAGAAAATCTCTACAAATATTTTTATATTTATTTAATACAATCATTATAATTCAGGTATTTTAAAAGATCCATCAATATATCTCATTGATGAGTATATTAAACAACAAAGTTAATTGTTAATATCTTCTACACGTAGCGAATACAAACATTCCTGTTTAAGAACTACCTAAATAAAAGTTCACTTCTTTTCCCGTCTAATAGAAGAGATGGCTTTATTATTCACAGAGGGCGCTGCTCGTGAGCTAAGTAGAATAATTTGAATATATAGTTTTAATAATTGATTTATATATTTTTTAAAATAGCCTATCGTCATCCCCGTTATCTTTTACCTATGTATGGAAATTTTGGTTTGAATTAGTGAACTACTGCGAATTTGTATACCGTGCATACTGACCAACAAACAGACAAACATACAAACATTCATTTTTATATATATAGATAAATCTATGAAACATTGTTTCTTTCACGAACAAAATAAATTTTGCACTTTCCATACTTTTATGCAGGAAGTACAGCAGAATGTTTGTTTTATTTGGAAAAGAAAGATTCGTGCCCTATAATTCTGTTTAGTATGTATGTTATAAAGAAAAATATTGAGATTTTCTGCTCGTATTTAATTATCTTGAGGATTATACTATGTTAATGCAGTCGTGGTTAAAATCTTGAAAGAATAATAATAAGAATGGTTTTAATCAGAGGTTGCTTTAATTGAGCTAAGGAATATATAAAATACATAATTTTAATAAAAGTACTGCCTGGTTTAAGACGTAAGAATAAAAAAAAAATGAAAAGCTTATTTACATAATGTACAAAGGTTTTGAGCCGGCCATTGGGATAAAACAACAACGAGTTTTTATAGGGGAAGAGTGACCTCTGGCGGTCGATTTGGCAGAGTATTTGAATCTATGAAATTATAATTTAAAAAAATAATAATATTTTATCTCTATATATATAAAAGTCAATTCCTGTCTGTCTGTCTGTTTCGCGATAAACTCAAAAACTACTGAACCAATTGGTTCCAAATTTTGCATGTCGCTTTTTATAAACCTGAGGAAAATTTTTGGCTACATTTTGCTTATTATTTTTGGCTATTTCTTTTTTCAATTTGAAGAACTGTTTTTTTACGCGGACTAATCCGGAATGGAATGAATACCTAAATATGGCCATTTTGTATACGCATCGGTGGCTTAGTGGTAGAATGCTCGCCTGCCACGCGGGCGGCCCGGGTTCGATTCCCGGCCGATGCATTTTTTTTTTACAATTTTTAAAACTCATTTATAAAAAATATAATATAAATATATACTATTATATCAACTATATGAATTAAATCAAATACCTAAACATTAATCTCTATATATATAAAAGTCAATTTCTGTCTGTCTGTCTGTCTGTTTCGCGATAAACTCAAAAACTACTGAACCAATTGGTACCAAAATTTGCATGTCGCTTTTTATAAACCTGAGGAAAATTTTTGGATACAATTTGCTTAGTATTTTTGGCTATTTCTTTTTTTCATTTGAAGAACTTTTTTTTTACGCGGAGTAATCCGGAATGGAATGAATACCCAAATATGGCCATTTTGTATACGCATCGGTGGCTCAGTGGTAGAATGCTCGCCTGCCACGCGGGCGGCCCGGGTTCGATTCCCGGCCGATGCATTTTTTTAAACAATTTTTAAAACTCATTTGTATATTATATCTTCTATATATATAAAAATGAATGTTTGTATGTTTGTTTGTTTGTTTGTTGGTTTGTATGTCCGGTATACAAATTCGCAGTAGTTCACTAATTCAAACCAAAATTTCCATACATAGGTAAAAAAATACGAGGAAAACGATAGGCTATTTTAAATTATATATAAATTAAATATTAAAACTATATATTCAAATTATTCTACTTAGCTCACGAACAGCGCCCTCTATCAATGTTATAAATACGTTTAAAATCGAAATCTTCTCAAAATTTTATTAATAATAGTTCGCTTAATAATTAGAATACTTGATCTAAATCAAAATATTTATAGACGCTCGCTCGATTTGAAGATTTATATCGTAACTAATCTGACTGTAAAGTTTTGAGCGGGACGTTTCACAAGAGTGACATCCACGGCGCCAATTTATAATTGTAACGAATAGTGTTTGAATAAAACATTTAATCGGGTAAACCCGGGCGTTGCCCGGGTCATTCGTCTAGTATAACATATATATATATGAACTATGTAGTACCAATTATTCCTAATAATATGACTACTGTCCTTACTTGATGAAAAAATCGAAATATATGGTTCATCAATGGTTTTATCTCCCAGTGGATTTACCAGCTTGATCTACCAGACCGCTATAAAATTGTATTGGCTTGTTCTGCCCCATTTTTAGCGCTAAATAGTTCATAATTCTGCATAATCAGATGCCGTGAAAATACTTTATATAAAAATAAAATACTTTATATAAAATATGTCTAACATGACTTCTTGTAAATGAATAACCCTTGATTGCTTACCTGGTGGATATATGTATAAAAAGGGGTCAATGATTGATAATAAAGTTTTTATTGTACCCTTTTCCCAAATAACAAAGTTTGAAGCAAATATTACTACAATTAAGCCCCTAAAATTGTCGTTTTTGATTGGCTTGCAGAACGACCATATAAATAGAATGAGATTTCTGTTGATTTTTTTATTTTAG